AACAATCTTAACAATCAACCTCACCTGTAACTACAAACTATAAAAACAGCTGCAGGAGCTATTTTCACATTATATCTTTTATCCATTATTTCTATGCATACGGTTTTTTGTCTAAATGAAATATTTTTATTTTCATAAGTTATTGTACAATAATTCAACTGTATGCCGTTGTAGGTGACAGTGAAGTACAGAGGACAATGTTGGAGTTACTAAATCAGTTGGATGGATTTGAAGCTACTAAGGATATCAAAGTTATTATGGCAACTAACAGAATCGATATCCTTGACTCTGCTTTACTCAGGCCCGGACGGATTGACAGGAAAATTGAATTCCCTCCACCAAATGAAGAGGTACATGTGTAGTCATATTTGGATCATTGTATATTTAAATTTTATTGTTGTGAGCAAAGCAAGTAGCCTTCTATTCGGAATACAGTGTCAATTCAAGGATGTCCATAACAGAACACGCCATACACACGGTCTGCAGTTGTACGAGTTTGGCTTGTGTTTGGATTGAGTCATTTTTTTAATACTATTTAGTACATGTCAAGGTCATGTTTATTTATTCGTGAAAGTATTCATCAGTTTCAAGGGGAAGACAGTGTTCTTTTATGTGTTCATAGTTTCGCAATTGCAGATTGGAATTTGCAAAACAGGTAGCTTGAAAAAAAAAAAAAAATATACTGCCTAAGGAATTTTGCGTTATGTGACAAGTTGCATCAAACCACTGCAACTCTGATGTGACCTTACATCTGTTATACATGTATATTGCGAAAATGAAATAGCTACATTGTACTTGCAGCATTCACTTTCTATTAGAAATGACTAGTTTTATATTTAGACTTCATGTTCCTAAAAGGATTTGTATAAGTTACATAAGTCAGGTTCAGAACTTTAGCATGTATTAAATGTACGGTACTCAAAAGTGTTTTATGCAAGATCCATTGCTGGCCTCTGTTAATATTAGCAAATTAAACTATACGACTTCATCAATACACAAGTAATTATTTATAAACCACTTTTGTCAAGTTTTCACTTTGCTAAACACAGTATTCATGGATTTTATGCTTTTCACAGAAAGTAGAAAAATTGAAAATTAAATTACATTTTATTATATAACACTATTTTTCTTTTGCAACTTGATCAGGCTCGGCAAGATATCTTGAAAATCCACTCAAGAAAAATGAACCTAACAAGAGGAATTAATCTAAAGAAAATAGCCGAGCTTATGCCTGGTGCATCAGGGGCTGAAATCAAGGTATCACGGGTGTTGTTGGGCAATGTTAAAACATGATTTTTATTGCTTTAACACTTTTGATAATAATTGTTTGATAATTAACAGGGTGTATGTACAGAAGCTGGTATGTATGCATTAAGAGAAAGACGTGTTCATGTCACACAAGAAGACTTTGAAATGGCTGTCACAAAGGTAAATTACTTACTTGATTATAGAAGGCCATTCTTGTATAGAGTTAAGTCACATGCTTATAAGCATGAAACAATTCTTAACTACGTAGTGCTAAATAAGATTTAGTTATCAACTAACTAAGAATTGAGAACAATGCTACAAAACAATTTAAATATTTGGCATTGTGTTTATGCTTTGTTGAATTCTTAGTTAGTTGATAACTAAATCTTATTTAGCAATACATATTAAGAATTGTTTCATGCTTATGTGACGTGCACTCTACAAATCCTCCTCAGTTTCCTAACTTAAAATCCAAGACTCTTGTTGGAAAGAAATGATGCTTTGATTTGATTGGTTAGACAATTCCCATACATCATACCATAACCATACAACCCAGATACTGTGTCTTCCGGTATCGTCTAAAACCAGAGTCTTCGTTTTTTTGTTGGGAAACTGAGAATGATCTGGTTGCAGTAATGATATTACACTGTCTAGACCAAATCCTAATAATACTTGTTTGTGTTTATAGGTTATGCAAAAAGACTCTGAAAAGAATATGTCTGTCAAGAAACTGTGGAAGTAAACCTGTCTCAATTGTAAATCCTTCTCAAACCAATGTTGGACGTTTGTATGAAAGAATTTGATAAGACTTGAGACTGTTTGGATCAACATGGTACATGTATTTATAGTGTCATCATGAATGTGCAACATTGAATGGTTACGTGAAGAGTTTCTCTGGGAAATAGAATCCTCTGGCTATCACCTCTAACAACACTAGCCTGCGCACTGGTCTGCGCATCGGCATTTAGCTACATGTACACAAACATAATTGGACAATATGTGACCTGTTGGGTCATCTTGATTAATACACGAACCAGTCATTTTGATGTACAGAGCTTAATTTATCAGCTAAACAAATAACTGGAAGTAACTTATGTGTTTAGAGAGAATAAATGTAACCTTTAGTGTAGTAAAGGTTGTGTATTTTTGACACTACTACATGTAGTACCTCTGTTACCAATGAAGCACAAAAACTCAGATAAGGATAAGCAATCTTATTTTATTAACAAAATAGGAGATGATACAATCAAAATACAATAGTCTTCTTCACGGTTCCCTGCGCCATCTTGGTTGTCACGCTTCGATGTACCTTTCAAGATGGTGCACGTAACCGTGCAACCTTCCTAGTAGACCAAGCTTTCTTACTGAGAAAAACATTGTATTTATTGTTGATGGGGAAAACTCAACTATTACCCAACATACTTCCCAATTAAAAAATTACAAATGTTTGTGTTCAATTAAAAAAATAAATGTTTACTTAATATTTCTTTTGCATTTTTCTTTTGACCAAAGCTCCAGATACAATATTTATCATAAAACTTCATTTTGTGCGCATGATTCAGTTAAAGAATGTACAATAGATAGTTTATAGCTTGGTTGTACCTCATTGGAAACATTTAAGATAAATATTATGCAGTTTAAAAACACTTTTTTAAGTAAACGTAGAAGAGACATTCTAGTAGTACTTGCAAGTGTTTTGTAGACTTTTTTTTTGTTTGAATAAAATTAATCTTATTCCTGTATGGTATAAAACTGGCAAACATTGATTATATTAAAGAATTGATTGTACATCTGGGGTACTATCGGTATTGGTTTCAATTCTTATAGAATAGCTGATGTTAGTATAGGTAATAGAGTGATCGCACTTAAATCGTGCAACTGTACAAACTGAATAGTTCTATTTAGTTGTATTTAGTAAATTGTACATGCGGTACAAAAATTGAATTGATACAAATTAAGCATTTAATACCGTCTTGCTTCAGGTCCACTTTTAGTGCAAATTAATATTACTCTATAGATTTTGTACAGTTGCATGCTTTAAATTGAAGTGAAGTAAAAAAACCTGTTAAATAGATATTGCACTAAATACACTTTAGTTGAGACTATCACACTTTGATAGCAAGGTTATGTTTCACAGGTTTAATGACTTCACTGTCGAGTGGTAACACTTTGAAATTGCAACTTATTATAAATTCATGTCACAACATATATATCAATCTCGTACCCTGAGACTTCTTGACCAACGTCAAACATGTAAACGTAATGTTTGTCGACAGCGCTGGCCAAGAAAAATGAAGACTAGGGCTACAAGATTGTGCATATATCTTCTACATCATTATACTTTGTTTTATGCTAACAATTTGCATTTTGCATAAAATATTATTTATAATATATAATATTATAATATTAAGCCTATTTATTCATTTAAAATTCACGAGGAGCCACGACTGCGTAAGGTCTGTACAGATCAGACTGATGTATGTATTCCAAACGCTACTCACACCACCAGTGATGAGGTAATATATATCAGTAAAATCATATAGCCACAGCAAGTGAGCGTAAATAAACTTTCATTTCATTTTGCCCCCATTGTTATTATAATTAACAATATATCATATGTAGCCTCCTCTGCATCCTCTGGAGGCATCCTGCTCTCTTACCGATCTAAAACAGGAAGCCTGTTATTTTTTTTTAGAAAGGAAAGAAAAATGCTAAAAGGAGGTTATAATACATGTACATAGGTTTGAAGTAAATGGAAACCATCAAAAAATATTATTTGAGAACGCTTATTCAATATGACTGTACTTTAAACTCATCATAATTCATATAATAATTAAGTCTAGAAATTTACTGAATTATTTTATATCATCTATTTCACTTTTTTCTTCAGGGGAACTGAGGCAATGAGGAGATAACAGACATCTTTACATGGCCTAAAGCCATTGTGGAAGGAGTTGCCTGCAAAAGGCATTACTTATTTGTCTGAAGTCTTGTAATGACCTCCCTGGCAGCTCTGTAACCAGCATGCACACCTCCACTGATATAACCACGATGGACATCAGATGTCTCAGTTCCTGCCCAATGTATCCTAAAAACAACAAATGATATTACAAAATGCAATTTTAATTAATGAATATGTATATTCCAACAGCGTTCTTATTTGGTTTCATATTACTCCAGTTTCAAATTCTCTTTTGTGCAAGCTTAGCTTCAATCAAGCATAAATTGTTTATAATGTCTTAGCATACACACATTGTTTGCATTACAATAGGATCTCTGCTGAATAAAAGAATATATTACATGCTTTCGGGTTAAGGCTGCACAAATAAGATCTCGAAACTGGAGTATTCGACAAAATTTTGGCTCTTGAATCTTGTCATAGGGAGACATTTATCTGACCTTTGAAATGGTTCTTTTAGGCAATTGCCGTAGTTGGTAAAAGCACCAGGAACCATGACATCTACTGGACATCCACCATTCCATTCTTCCTCTGACCAATCCTGTAAATAACAAACTAAAAATTATCAGATATGATTGTCACTTTAAATATTAATCATATATCAGCAAATAAGCATATTGAACTCGGCAGACTTTTTACTATAAAAAGAAAACTTTCTATTGTAAGTACTATTGTCATACCTTAACAGCACAGTCCAATGGATTTTCAGCATCAGAACCCAAGTATCTTGCAAGAGACTTGATAATAGCATCCTTCTTCTTCTCTTCCTTTAATAAATAGAAAATGAAAACATCATACTTGGTTTTGTTATAATGATGACGCATGACCACTACACTATACACAGCTTGTAGGAAAGCCTCAGCTCTGCTGCACATGGCTTATAGAGCCCAGTCATCAGCTCCACGYATATAAATGTGTTTTCTCTTGGCATTGCGGCTRATCTGCCAAGCTGGTGCTTGACATGACCAGATGCCAAAAGAATGAGGTGARTTATACAATATTATGTTTACAAGGCATAACATTCAATTTTATTCTTTCCTAAAATATACCTAACAATTTATATTGTTTTATCGAAGGAATCCTAGATTTGTGAGCTAAAACGTACTGATTTATTGCTCCACTTGGAAGCTGCATATGAAGTAATAAACCCAATAATAGCTGGGCTTCCATTACTTGTTGTTCCATCAAATGTTAATGCTATTGGGTCTGACTCGCAGTGATATCTTCCTGTTATATGAGCTATCTCACCAGACATCCCATTCTTCCTCCAAAATGCAGAAGGATAGCTTACAATAAACTTGGTCAGATGCGAAGGAATCATATTTTCAATGGTGTGCTGCTTGTCATATGGCAATCTCGGCATAAAATCAATCTTGCCTACAATGGATAAATATGAGAATTAAAAATTCWATTTTGCTGCTTAGTTAATTATTAGTTTAATTATGCATGATATTATGTATGATCTTTTTTGTGTATGCTGTTTGACTTTATGTCAGGGTATTGGCATACTTACATGTAACTGCATATAGTCATTACCTGTTAATCGTGGGGGGATTGCAATAATGGCAAACTTTGCAACAAATCTCAAACCMTTTTTTGTACAAACAACAATACTTTCAGAAGTCTGAAGTAAAATGTAAAGCAGAAATTAATAATTGGAAAACTGTCAGTGAGTATAAAATAAAATTAAAAAACCTAATATAATGTTACCTGTCTTATTGAGACTACAGGTTGCCTGAGAAGGATCTTATTCCACCCAATTCTCTCTGCCAAAACTTTAGTTACATTGTGTGCAGTTCCCTGGTAACAATGCAAAGTTTTTTTAATAAAGCATTATTAAAATTATTAATTTATAACAAATACAATGCTTCTGACATATGTTTTTGAATTTTGCATGAACAAGAAAAACTCAATGTTCCGTTTAGTAACTTAAACCAATCAGCCTTTAACTTTATAACAAACATAATTTACTTTGACTCTGAATTCTTGTGCTCCACCCTCTTTCCCGGATTCAACCAGATTTTCCCAGCCACCACAAGTCTGAAGATAATGTAAGAAGAACAATAGAGACATCTGTGCTGTTGTCACTCCAAATATACATCCTACGGCAATTTCTATCATTTCAACTGTTCCTGTAAGTGCAAAATTTATTCTTAGTTATAATAATCTATGATCATTCTTATGTACTTCAGCCTTGTTCCCATTCCCTTATCAGTTTTTCCCATGTACTATCTGCATGTGTCTACTATTCAACTCCAGATTCTCAGTCCTCCAGTTTTGTGAACCAGAGCCCYAGCTTTCCATTGGTGAAAAGCTTAGAAGGATCTGGGTATAGCATTTATACATACATATAAATTAGTATGAACATATATAATTAAGTCAGGTAACATTAGATAAGATCATAAGAAAAGAAGATGAAATTACACAAATAAAAGAGCAAAAGTGGGATGGAAGACGTTAGAGTTGAATACAAGAAAATTCTACAATTTAATTCMCTTACCTTGTGTCCAAGCTTGCTGTTTAACCCAGGATTCAACAGTCATTCCATCCCACTCTTCAGCATAAATACATTTATTGGGATCATCTAGTGGAACTAAATTGCACAAATTTTCTATCTAAAAACAAAATCATATTAATCAGCTGTCAATTTGAAAAATTAATATAAATTTTCAAATAATTGGATGGCTTACTTTGCAGTTCAAATAGTATGTGTCTATCAGTGATAAATATGAGAGAGATGGATAGCTACCAGAGTATGTTTTCAACTTCCCATCACTGAGTTGTATGATTTTCTTGCCATCATACCATTGCTTATAGGTTTCTATCTTCAGTTCTTCTAATAATTCTACAATGTCTTTTTGCTCCCTTAAAAAAAACATGAAAGATAATTACATATGCTATAACGTTTAACTGATAAAAATTCAAACTATCTTACCTTCCAATCCATTGTCCACCAACATCCCATGCGTCTTCCCCATGAGTAGTTTTAAGTTTAATAGAGTCCAGGCGCCCGCCGACACGATCTATAAGTTACATGTGAGTTGTTCTATATTAAGTGTGAAATGTCATAATAACAAGAGTATACAAATGCAAACATCAATGTCAACCCTTGCAACATGTTCTTGCCACTTTATATTTTTTTGTGATGTGGGTGATTTTTTTAAATTTTATCACCTTTGCCCTTCCCCCGCTACCTTGGAATTTTAATTGACAATTAGGCACAATATTGTCACATTTTATATGACCTTATTGCAAATATCATTTTTATTTCAAACAACATTTGGAGTTGGACATGAAAAATTTAAGTAATTTATGTTAAATGTAAGATTAAGTTAACTTATTTATTAATTTTAAATTTCAAAATTTTAAAATTTGAATTGCTGAAATTTTTTTTTGTATATAATAAAATAAACTCGGCTCTAATGCTGCTAACTAAAATTCTGGCCTTGATGCTCAGACTAAATGCTTCATGGTGCAGTATATGGATGCAGGATTCGACCTTGGCTTGCATAACCTTTCCCAAGGTAATCGACGTCATTATCAAGTCTTTAAAAAGTTAAATCTTACTATTGTTTAAATATTAATGTACCTTTAGCTTCCAGAACTACAATAGAATGGTATTTCTCTGTTTTCAGGATGCTATAAGCCGCACAAAGACCAGAAATTCCTGCTCCAACTATCACGACATCCACCGAAGATACTTCATCCAGGTCGCCATTGTGGTTGCTCGCGGTCGCCATCAGAACAACAACACTCCAACGAAGTGCCTAAATTTAATGGTAATTGCTGCAAAAATTGTCTAACAGGAAAGTTCTTCAATTTCCTTTACATGTTTATGAACTCAAGGCCGGAAAGCAGCCATAAACATAAAACTCTTCCAAGTCATATGACAAGATGAAATGTAAGTCCTCTCTGCTGCTCTTTTTCCAATTCGCAAACAAAATCAGCAGGCGTTCTTTGTCCTTTGCATACATTAACATAATTTAGAACACTCATGTCACGCAACGCTATGGAAAGAAAGATTCGAAACTTGACTTCTACGGATGGAGAGCTGTACATTTTACTTATCGCAACAAAGACGATATTCCCTTTAAGTCGAAACAATGGGTACGCCCCTTGATGATACGGTCTTTTAAGCACAGGTATCAAGTCTATTGTTTCTACAATATCTTTTGAATAACTAAAAAGGTCCGGTGGTTGTCAACTAAGCAGAAAGGAAGCTTTTTAATTTAATGAAACGGTAGACAAAGTAGATCTTAATATATTTTCTTGTTGCCAAAAATAAAGTTACAGTCATCATTGCCAAGCAATCCTGAAAATTTTTCACACATTTGTGTTGCAAGCCATCATCATGGTAGTGAATGTTGGATGGTATAATCCCAAGTATTTGCAACTCTCTGGAATTGGGGCAGAGTAACATGATGGAGAGAGCCTCTTTCTACTCTGTCAATCCAAAAATACCCTTCGAGAGAGCCCAATACTCAGGCCAGTTGAATGGAAAAATCTAACATTTTTTTATCTTTTGCGGCTTCATTCCAGAGCAAAACTACAAATACAATATTGTGCCATGCATTGGGGAGTAGCTTTAAATAAACTTTAATCCTTTCAAAGCCTTTATTGAGTGATTCACCAGAAATGAAAATGAATTAAGCTATTTCTTAATTACAGATAAGCAGTACTCATATCTCTAAGTTGTGTGACTTTCTAAAATCTCTTTGCATACATTGGTTGTTGCATAAAGTTCATATAATTCATATATTATTGATGGTAGTGTACTGTTAATACCTACTCACACTCTAACACCAACAAATTCAGAGTCTATTTCAGGGCTCACTTGAGAACAAGCACTCAGAATACWAATGCTATCTTGCCCGTTACTGGCYGTTACAAAACCCTCAACRCTTTTGGAATCAATTTTAGGTAAAAGATTAGRCAACAGTTCCATTGCATTGGATTTGCGACAAATTAATAAYAGTTTGTTGGTAAGAGKTACAGGACTGCTAAAYGTGAGGTTGTTGTATTTAAACAAGATGGGGASRTTTTGGCCAATAGTACTGCCAGTGATGTTAGCTCCACCRTTCTTGCCTTGGATGCTGACTGACAAGCCTGTAGGATACTGTCCTGTTGCCTCATTATCATGGCTTGTTTTTACCTATGTATTCAAAAATATTGAGATAAAAAACTTAATATTAATATAAACCAAACAAATCTCTAAAATAATAAAGGAATTGGTTAAAGTTGAGTGATTGCACATAATTAAAATAACAAACATAACTACCTCAATCCCTGCAGCTTTGGCAAGTCCCATAGCATTAATAAGGTTCATACCAGTGTTTGACATTACTCCCATACACACAGCTGCTGCAAGGTAGCGGTGAGATTTCAACTCTTGTCCGTGAGATGTGACATTTATCTTTGTGACATTGCCTCCAACAAGTGCTGCAGCAACTTTACCCAGACCTTCACCAAGGGACACCAGAGATGAAGGTTTGAGAGCTTCACATAAATCAAATGGTACATTGACCTTAAAAGAGATATTGAATTTGCCATAAATAAATTTGTACTTTTTGTAATTACGTTGCCATTCTGCAAATAAAACCCCATCGCTGGCTGCAAGGCAGTGTTCTCAGAACTTTTTCTGCAGTGCACTTGCCCAGAAAATCTTGACACTGAACTGTCTTGATGTCTAATCAGGGGTGTCAGGGCACCAAGTAACTATAGATGATATATAAGATAAATAGAATAAATTGAAGAAAAGGCCACACAACTTGTAACAGGGTTTCCACTCTTTATTGAACGTTTCGGGCATTCGCCCTTCTTCAGCAAACTCTGATATATAAGATATATATGTAACATATATTTTTGCTGAAATTTCGAGTACAAGTTCAGGCAATTAATATTCAGCTGGGGAATCCCAATGTAACAAATGTAGGAGATAAAACTAAGAACTTACAATGCCATTGAGCCTTTTCCCTTGAGCAGCATCTACGAACTGTTCAGCAATCTCCTTTGCGACTCTCTTTTGGGCTTCCACAGTGTTGGCACCCAAATGTGGAGTCCCTACAACTTTTGGATGTTGTGCAAGAAGAGCAGAAGTGCCTAAAAGAACCATGATTTTACAATAATTACATGCTGCACACTGTCTAATTCATGGCAATTGTAATGAAGGTACAAACCTGTTGGTGGTTCAGTAACAAAAACATCAAGACCAGCACCTCCAACATGACCTGACTCGAGACCTCTTAGTAGAGCATCCTCATCAATAATCCCCCCTCTTGCAACATTCAGTAGATATACACCTTTCTTGCACTCTGCTATTGTTTTGTTATTCAGCATGCCTGTATTACAATCACGTTTCAACCACTGCCAGTTCTTATTCTTACATGTACATCATATGCCTAACATCTTGTTATAGTAATGTTTCAAGGATGACAATTAAAACTGGAGACAATTTTTAATTCTGTATACATTATTTGTTGTTATTTCAGTTGAAAGTGGAGCCCAAGCTTCAATCAAGCCTCAGATTGTTTCAGTCAGAAGTAAAGCACAAGCTAGAAGCCTGGAAATAAACTTGAAAGGTCTATTTGATTTGAAAATTGATCCAAAAATAACCATGTCACGACTTTTAGGGCACCCTATATTCCATCAACCTATCCCACCTATAGCTAAATATTTCACCTTTAGTGGGAGGAATAAGTGGAACATGAACAGTAATATAGTCTGCCTTTGGCCATATTTCACTTGGCTCCATCCATTCAGTGTTGAACTCTTTAGCCTCCTGTGCTGATACCAAAGGATCATATCCAATCGTCTGAAAAAACGAAGTTGTGATAAATAATACCAGTATTATACACGTTAAAGGATGGCCAAGTAACCTTTATTATAATCTTTCATTTGCATCAACTGTTGAATCCGTTATTTATTAAGTATCAAGTTGACACTAGAGTCGGTTCACACAGTCGCTCTGTTTATTACATATCGAAAAAGCACATGGAGTAAAATTACATGCATGATTGCACATACATAATTACATAATCATCCGGGAAATTACATCAACTTAGCTAAAACATGCTACCTAATATTATATTACATTACAAAGCTTTTTGTGTCATCTTAAGTCAATAATTTCCCCACATATTTCAATCTATATTTCTCACAAGATATGAGTGCTCTATTGTGGTTGTTGGTTTATAGTATACCTTCATTCCAAATGACTGCATCCTTAGTGCAACTTCTCTCCCAATTCTTCCAAGTCCAATGATTCCCAGGGTCTTATTGAACAGCTCATTGCCCATATACTAAAATAAGGTCACAACTTACAATAATTAGTCACCCATAGTTATGCAAGCTACCATGTACTAACTGTATGAAGTTAGAAATACTACTAACAATTGTCAAGGAAAACCAACCTTTTTTCTATCCCACTTTCCTTCCTTCAGTGAAGCAACTGACTGTGCTACATGTCTGAATAATAAAAAAAAAAGATTAAATTACAGTTGTCAGTTATCTGGACAATTGACCAATGGAAGACTATTATTACAAGACTTAGTATACTTGGTTAAAGTTCTTAGGTCTTTTCACTATCAACCACGAGTCAAAAATAAGATGCCAAAGAGCAGAAAATTTGTATCATATGAGATTTGAAATGTGCCATACCATATCCTATAATTCTGCTCTAGCTAACTGAGTGCCTTAATTCTGAATGCACCTTTTTTAAAAAGCGCTTTTGTTTGATTTCAATTGCCTCAATGCTTAGTGCGTGCATATAATCCAGCTAAGGTCATAACTAGGAAGAATTCTTACCTGGATAAACAACAAATTAAAGCACAAGTGTGCTCTGCAGCACTAAGTGTATTCCCCATTGGTGTACTAAAATCACAATAAATTCAATTATAATTATTACTCATATAAATTACATTTTATATTTTCCTAATATTGCATCTACTAATATCTTCTATATTCTAAAAGACGTATTTTGCTTTTATCACCTGTGCCCTCGATTCACTTACGTATGACAAGAATGGGAGGGGGAGAAAGGGTCCTTGGGTTGAAGGGGGGAGGGTTGATGATTTCCTTGACACATCAAGTATGCCCAAAAAGAAATTTGAGGTAAACGGTATGATCCCTTGATAAGATGACGGATCGAAACTAATATCGACCGTAGACAGTAGATATTTCTTTAGGGTCCCCTTTCCCTATTTTTAGTTTAAACAGAATATTTATTTTTGAATAAAATTCTTACTTCATCACCAGAACGCCGTTTAAAGCTGCACTTGTTGAGTCGATGTTATCAACTCCTGTACCGGCTCGACCAACTATCTTCAACCTCTTGCCAGCTTTAATGGCATCTTCAGTGACTTTAGTCGCCGAACGGACCACAAGACCGTCATAATTCTAACATCAAGAAAAGTTATTGCAGTGAAGAAGTTGCGATGAATATGCAAAAGTCCACGTACAGTGAAATTAAGCTTACAAAACTGTACCTGAATTTCCACAAGTAATTCTTCTTTCGTTAACTTGTTTTTTACATCTGCGGTGATTCCATTAGCTTCTAGTATTTCTTTACAGCAAGGATTCACGTTATCGCAAAGTAAGACGCGTTTTATATCGAGCAAGTTTGCCATTTTGTTACTTTCTCGTGCTCGTGTACAAATTTCATCCCCATGCGTTCAAGGTGCACTGATGGGACGAACGCTGATAGGCCCAAAGTGACCACGTGAAGAGTTATGAATTTTCCCGGGAATGGTGCATGTGGACGCAAGTGGCTTTCCAGCTGATCGGAATTTCACTGATTTGGTGGTAAAATACGATTTGTGCCTCGAAGTAGCATTTTACTGGGACTGCATTAACATCAAATTAAAAATACAATGATGTACTCGAAAGTAAGTTAGCTGCATTACATATTTAATAAAAAAGAACAGAAAGAATTCACTAGAATGCGGCTGCTAAGTGTCAGTCACGTACCTGGAATACATCTAAGATGTTCTGTATTCTAATACCGTCAAAATCTAGTTTTTTTTATGACCCAAGGTGGAAGATTTGGATTCCTTATAAGGGACGTTGAAGAGGATTTCAAAAATAAATTGGTTTTCTGTGCGGGCTGAAAACATAAATGTTTTTAAAGAAGCGGAAAATATCCTGCAGAGCTTCTACATGGCATCCGGCTTCGATAGGGAAAAAATATCCTTTTTGTACATATTTTTTTTCATTTTTCAGAAATAATTGATCACAGTTAAATGGCCTCTCATAATTTTTGAGCAAATTAAATCTAAAAAAGGAAAATTCCCTAAGGGTTCAAGAACAAGTTACATACCAGCTCGATCACATTCTAAGTGAGTTTAATGCTTACCTACTATTGACCCTTGTTAAAAGTGCCTAAAAATATGAATTTGCCAATTTTAGTTGGCCCTGTAAGAGCCTGGTATCCGTCTTTTAGGGGTATTTTTTAAAATTTCTAACAATCACCTACACCCCATATACAAAGGAAACCCCTCCCCCCCCCTCCCCGGGCCTTGAAAAGACGTCACTCAAATCTTTGCACGTGTTCAATGAAATTACATATCTTCATAAAGGATACTCATGACTTTGATATCATATTTAGGCAAAAACTTAATCTTCATGCTCATTAGAAGTTTATTCAATTATTTTCAGTAATATTATATATTTGGTCACTAGAGTACACTTACTATTTATTTGTTAACCTAACACATTAAATAGAAGAATAAATAAATTTTAAAGATAAAAAATATATAAATAATATATCAAATCATTCATCAATAAAAATAATGAATTTATAACATAATTAAGCAACTACTACTATAGACAAATCACTCAATCAATGTTTAGCACTATTTCATTCCTAATAATTTCTATGGATTTTAATCCAAAAGTGTACTTTTGTAATTTTTTTAGATTTCAAAACTTAATTCTCTTATTTTGTCAATTTGATATTATTAAGTTGTTTTTTTGAAGTACTGACACTGAGCCTACATTTCCAATAGTAAACTTTTCTTTCAAAACAAAAACACCATTTTTCCCAAAACGAAAAATTAAAACTACTGGTATTTGTCATCTTTATGAAAGCATTGAGTTAATCATTGTGATTATAATATTAATAGATAAATAATAAATTAGATTTGTCTTTGATATGTAATATWAATAAGAGACCCTATGTATTCCATTATTAGAGCTAAACAGTGTTGAACCAGACAAGAGAAAGCAAAGGATGAGCATGATCACATTTTAGTTAGCATTCAATTAGGTATATACATAAACCAAAAAAATAGAATAAATTTTCTAATAATCTTTTTCATTTATAAATAATTTACTAATTATTAATAATTATTACAATAGTCCCCTGGACTTTCAAAGTACAGCACATGATTTCTAACCATGTGACATCTTTTTATCACTGAGACTAGTCATGCAGTCATGAGCATTATAAATATATTCACTCTTATTAATATTCTATTTTATTCAGCTAGCGAAATGAAGAGCAGCAATCACTCTCCATCTAATGCAATCTAAATATGATATTATTAACAATACTCTTTATTTTAATTAAAATAATAATTATTTATTAGTCATTTTTTACTAGAAGTTTTCTTGGTGGATGCTGCCAATTTTAGCTTTAAGCCTGTTAGTGAAATTGGCTTCTTTGAAATCCTGACCCTCTTTTGTGTCTTCTCATACATTTGTTTTGCAAGGAATTGTTGTCTCTTCTTCCATAACACTTTAAATTCAAGACTGAACTTTGTCCACATGTCAAAGAAGTCTTGTGGTGAAAGAGACACAGATCTTTGGTAGAAAAATTCCAGGATAAGTGCAAACCTTGGAAAATATAGAAAAATATAGAAAGAAATATTGATAGACAATTATAGTGAAACAAAACTAAAAACCAACCAAAACCATCCAAAACTAACCAAAACCAACCAAAACAAAACAAAAACAAAACAAAACAATGAAAAAAAAAATCAGAAATCCCAAGCAAAATTTACTACATTCAAAGTTGGTATAAAAGTCATTTTTGAATAGTGAGTGTGTTATATCAGGCCTAATATTATTCAATGCAACTTTTTCTATTAAGACATATAGAGCTGTTTCCAACAGATACACATTTCTGAATTTCATACTCACTTTTTCTTACACTCTTCAAGAACTTGGAACTGTTCCTTCAGGTCATTTCTGCTTTGTTCCAGGAACATTTTCATTGTTTTTTCAAATGGTTGCCGCAGGTGAGGCTCTGATTGGTTAAGTACTTTTCCAACTTTTACCTCACATCCATCAAGCTTGCTTTCTAAACCTTTGAGATCAGCTGTTAGATCATCAAAGTTAAGTTGAGATGCTGTTTGTAGATCTGTTGGCTCTGGAAGAGGGAACTTCGACATTAATGTACCAGCATTCTGCAATGAAACAAAAAAAAATTACACATTTTTTTATACCAGTTATAATCCTTTTTAGGTGACTAGAATTATGGGCACATTTCNAACATGGTCAAGTATACTTGCACAAGATAATGGAGCAAAGTGATGGTGTGATCTTTAGACTTGACATCCTTCAGTTTCGTTAGGATTTCTAATTCAAACCCATCTGCTTGTCCACGTGACAAATTACCACCATTCATGTGATTTCCAAATGCCAGCACTAGACTTAAAATGTTATGAATTTCACTGTTTGTTTGCAGATCCTATGAAAATATATGATAAATAAATATTAATATTATCATTTGACATCACATAAGTTAATTAAATAGTCAAAAATAAATAAATAAATATTAATATTATCATTTGACATCACATAAGTTAATTAAATAGTCAAATTTAACAAATTGAAAAAAAATTTTTTCGTTTTATCTTACCTCACACATAAGACGGAAATTTGTCAAAGCCTCACCAAGCTCTAAAAGTGAATCAGAAATTGATGTTCTTGATATCATGCAACACAAACGCTCTTCATAGCAGGCAATTTTAGACACATCATAGAGGAACTGCTCKGGCCTGTCAAGAAYAGCTCCTGGGTTTTCTTGAAGATGGATTTCTATCAAGCTTAGCTCTTCCTTTGTAGCCCTCTAAGAAGGATAGAAAACAATACCATTAATAAAACTGAAGGATATAAGCCAGTTCTCAAATAGTATTCCATTTTTTTTAACAGCTAACCCAAGATTAACTGCTAATTGAGCTTTCAACTCTGTCTGCTTTACTCCACACAGTACTTACAATTTCATAAAGAGATTTAAGGTTTTCATAATCAAGGATTGTAGTGTCCATCTTGTAAAGAGCATCTTTTATTTCATTGAGATTCACATGAAGTGTGCTCAGTAATATCCCTATGGACTGAGATCGTTTACTATCAAGAAGGTGCACAACTTTCTGCTTTGTTCTCTTGGTTGTCTTGTTTTTCATTGTGCCTTCATCCTTCTTACGTTCAACTTTTGAAAATGCACTTTCAAATTGTTCAACATCAATTTTTGGTTCTTTTAATGATCTCCATAGGCAGTTTCCAGTTTGTGACCCTGGCAGTATTTGAAGCTGTACCCTTTTCCAGAAAAGAGGCTTCATAGGAACACCTAAAATGTGCACAGAATAAAAACTAGTAACAAGAACATAATATAATACTAAAACAGCATTATTGCCCATAAATATACTTACTTGGTGTGATTGCCTTTTTTCGATAAGTTGGATTCTGTCTTAATCCACCAAGTGGTGGTGGAGCTGGGGGTCCTTGGCCCCTCATACCTGGTAGTGGAGGTGGGGGTGGTGGGACTGCTCCCCCTCCTCTTCCAGGAGGAGGTGGTGGTGGTGGCGGAGGTGGTGGCACTCCTTGCTGTCCTATGCATGGAGGTGGTGGTGGGGCGGGTGGCACTCCTGATTGTCCAAAGCATAAAATTGGTGGTGGTGGTGGTGGGGGAGGTGGAGGCACTATAGGAGCTGTAACTGCAGATACTGCTTCATTTTCACATTGCCCTTTTCTACATGATTGTGTATCTGAGGATGGAGATGTATTAGCCACTGAACTTGATAATGGTGCTTTATTTCTGGCATCTTGTTTTGATTTCTCTGGTGATGTGCAATTTTCTATTTCATTTGAGAAAACTCTGGAGGCCAAATGTTTAATATTTTGATTGACATCATGTTCCAGATGACTTTTACTAGTCTTGCTTTCTAGTAAATCTAAGGTCGCAGCTGATGTAGGTGACGTCTGCGGGGGAGGAGGTAGTGGGGGCGGTTGAAATGTTCTAAAGTGTGGATGGTGTGCTGGGCTAAGTGGTGGTGTCCTTGGTGTGATACCAATATGCCTTGATGTCATCTTGATGGCAAGAATCAGATCATTCCATGATTTGTCCCTATTTATAAATATTATAGATTATAAATAAAGTAAGTTAAATGTACAGCTTTATAGCACACTGCAAAATAAGAACTCAAAACGTCATTATCTGCAAATGCCCGAAGAAATGCAATTTGTCCGCATTTTTTCTTTCTTTTCTTTCAAACACTACCTTGTTGCAGAGGAATAAATCGGCATTATGCACAATGGTATTTTGGTAGACTCCCCGATTATGGTTCCAAAAAATATTTAGAAATCACCTCGACAAAAATGCTWGCTTAGCAGAAAAAATGTGCAAAAAAGGTTGAAATTTTCATCATAGTCGAAACATTTTGCATACTTACCGAGATATAAACACGAAATCAATCCAAATAATGTGGAGTTGCTCGATTAAAAGTCATATTGACGGCCGACCGTCATATTTTGGAGCGACAAACACTCGACCGCCATTTTGATCTTCGAGCACCTGTTTGCAAATTTATAGCCTCAGTCCTTTAACACAGGCAACCCATGTAAATAGAGCAATAATCGATCACTTTAGCCTGCATCGCCTGCATGTTTGGAAAAACTTTTGCTAGATTATGAGAAGCAATCAAAAGTTCTTGAGTGACGTGAATTAGCAGAAACAGCTATCCAAAAAGAATCGGCAGCAGCTCGGGTTACTTTCGGCTAACTTCGAGACGTTGTCGGTCTTCGTTCGGATTATGCRCGGAAAACGCGGGAAATACGACTGAGGTTTGCACGTTCCGATCGAACGAGCTCCACAACAATTACCTTTGTTGAGGAAAATACGGGGAACAGCTGGTAAATGAGGATTTTGTTTTGAGCTATGAAAGTATGGATTAAATGACAAAGAGGAAAGTTTCTGGCTCAACTTCTTTGGATACATTGTTCAAAAGGTATTACAATACATGCATTCTTGTTGATTTCATTCACGGTCACCGCTTTATATCAGGACCTTCAGCAGGAAATGTCTTATATATAAGTTACATACTTTAGAATGGTAAAAATTATGAAATTTATTCATGGTACTTTTGAGTAGCGGTATTTTGAGAATCAGGGGTCAAATCAGGTTTATTTTTTGAGCTCATAGGGGTCCATTAGGTAGGATCACTTTCTTAGAAATTTTGATCAAACACCATCTGGGATTAGGGATCAAAGTGTTCTTGAATCCTGGTGATCAGGATCTGAGAGAGAAAAATTAAATCTCCCTGTACTTCCTTGTTACTTAATCAATATTATATAGGGCCCTAGTCTTCTCCTCGCAGCTGTAATGAGGATAGACCTGGGCTCCTTCAAGATCTATCTTGATACAATATTATCTAGTATCCCCTTTTACCAGATGTATCTCACAGCATATCTTATACTTCTTTATCTACATCTACGTTTATTGATCAGCAATGMTTTTGCATCAAGCTGATATACATTTACAAATATGAATATTCTAATAAACAGCTTTTTGAAAAAATTATGAGAATTGTCTAAATATCTAAATATCATAATATCCATATATTGTCCGGAACACGCGGGTTTGCTAGAATAATTCATTGTTGACATCGAGAAATTGTTCAGAGCTACAAATAAGTCTGTCTCCAAAAAAAACTAAACTACAAAGACAAGGGACTAATGGCATCGCGCGGGATTACCCATCATGCACTCGATATTATGATTATTTAGATATTTCGACAATTCTCATAATTTTTGCAAAAGGCTGTATATAACATTAATCTAAAATATCAATTTACAAATATCTATTTTTTCATAGCTTAACTTTTGCTACAATGTATACACAAACATATATGATAAATTGCTGAATATGTTTACAAGTAGTGATCGATGATATATTTTACAAATTTTACAGTGTGATAAGTATAGGAAGCTATCTTATATCTTCCTATATTAATCATAGGGAGAAAAAACAATAAAAAAAAMCACCCCAAAATAGATGATATTTATCATTTTCCATGTTTATGGATATCATCTTCCTTGTTTCTATCCTGAAATTAGGTCACAGCAGGATGTAATTCAGAAAGTATTCATGCAGCTATTTGTTCTATTATTACAACATAGAATAATGCCACAATATGGGGATAACAGTTATCACATAAAACTGTCTTGTGTGCATGATGTGTTATATTCGTTATGAGGGGGTTGAAGGGGAAGACGTTRGCTGTGAAGAGAAATTTGAAGGTCTTAATATTTAAYCCTTCCCAGGCTAATGCTTGCTTCTCTGACTCCCCTTTTCCCCCTCCACACCTTCCCCTGACCATTCAGGCTAAAAACACAATAATTTTTAGARCTTATGCTATCAATGATTGCCTCTGTCTATAATAGTAGTTGTTATTTTGCTTCTTCTCTGCAAACCAAATGCAGTTTTTTAGATTCTTTTTTGGTTATGATTTACATTTGTTTCTCCTCTGGTAACAATAATCCGTAGTGGTGGAACAGTAGAATTTTTTGTGACGTAATAGGATAAAGAGCAATTCACGCTAAATAAGATGTGTGCAAACCGATAGAGCGGATTTMGTATGAGTGGGACTCCGTTACCGCACGGTTACCGCACAGTTACCGGACCTGGCCTGCACAATTTTGGTGAACCAATGGGGCACTAGAATTTGGTTACAGTACGRTTACAGTCACAGTACRGTACCGTCCGTTTCTCACTCATACGAAATCCGCTCTACTGTCAGTTACTTGAAATTAATAATTACAATGTTGTATCCTTATTGTTTGGACTAATTTGTCATCATCTACATGTGCTTTTGTCCATGCTATGTCAACCTCGCCTAAGCTTTGGGCATGGGTACTAGAGGTTTTTCCGTTTTCCTAAGTCAGTAAGATACATGATTGATAGTGAAAACTGGAGAAACTCTATTATGGGATATTCGACATCGGCGTAACATTGCATCCTTGAATTCGCGCATGCGCATTGCATAGATGATCGGATTTGCTAATGAGTTGCTGTAGTGAAGGCACTTAATGACATCCATAGTCGAAGCAGTGTAGCTTATGCACCAGTTACACAGCCATCCATGAATCATAACGACCTGGAGTGGGAACCATGCAATTACACTGACAATAGTCACCATCAGTAGAGTAATGGTCAATTTGTTTTCGCGTTCATGATGGACGGTGTTACGACGGTTTGCTACCTTTTGCACACAACTGATTTTGACCCATATAAGGAGGTATGCAATTATGATGGATAATAGCGATCCCATAAYTGGTATAGCACTTGCAAGCAACTTAATCAATAGTGTTTTCTGTGGAACGAACGACGATGAAACCAGAGCGCAGACCAGTCCCAGAACCCAAGTAAGGGACACAACTACGATATAAGGGAAGTAACTGAGTGTACGATGTTTGAACGGCGCATATGTTGCAAAGGCTCTTTCGATGGCAATAGCAGACAAACCCAATACAGATGTGGTTCCAAACCAAATGTCTTGTATGCRAAAGACCGTGTTGAAGGTTAAGTCTACAAAGGTGAACCTCTCCGTCAAGCAAAGCATCATGGGTGCTGATATCAGTCCCACAAGTAAGTCCACCACGGCTAGGTTCATCATRAATATGTACTTGCGGCTGCGCAGTGATGGGCTGGTTGTGAATATGACCAAAACGGAAATGTTTCCAGTAACTATGACGAAGGACGCAAGTATRAACAACCATGACGTAGACCACATGATCACGTTTCTGAAATAAAAAATTCGTTTAGGGTTAACGGTGATGCTGAAATGGTTCTAATATGATACTCTTTATATTACAAAACACAGCTAAGGATACTAAAATGCATGTTTATGAATCTTTATTTTCTTCCCTCAACAACCAAGGTCTAGAGTTCTCGAAACGACCTTGGCCCTTTGAGCAATGATGGTCATGACTTGAGATTCAGTCACATGACCTGTCGTGTGTATAACCTGCCTAGAACGGTGCCCAATAGATTTATATAATCACGTGACAAATTTATGAAGCTCATTTATCTGTATCATCTGATGTTCAACAATCTAGAACAAGCTTATCTTCCACTAAACTTCTACACTCTAATTATTTTAGCAATCGGCACCAATCGCAGCTTGTTTTTGACTAGCATAATAACTAATCCTGAGCCTATTAAGTAATGCCCCGAGTAAAAACTAGGGAAGCAAACGGCAAAGGAATGCAAGAAGGTGCTAATTGTGTATTGTATAATCCATCTATCCCATTGGTTAAAACATGAACATCTGCTATAATTTCACAAGTTAGCAAATTTTCTAATATTTTATTTAATGTCTGTTTTCGCTTTCATGAAAGCTTTCTTTAGCTTCAATATCAAGGCAATTCTATGTGGGGAACATTGCAAATTAGAAGCGATCTTTTGGCTATTGTTTTGAGTGCTTATGATTGGATAAGRGCTTTTAATACAAAAGAAACTTTGTTTCAAAATAGAGTTTATCCACATTTAATTTCAAAATGTGTTACTCACAGGTTAATACATAATCAGTCTGAAAACCAAGACATTCGTACATGGGGAACTTGCTATGCCGCAGAACAATAGAGAGTTCCCTAGTTCTTTAGCGCATTGTTACTTAGGTTTGATTAGCAATCATGATAGTACATAGCTAGATCTATGTGGTTAACGCTTGTATTTGGTGATCTGTGTAATTACTCATCTCACCCAGCATGCTTGATTTTAAGAGATGTATTCACATTGTTATCAAACTAGTTGATCAACTTTTATTTATACATAATGGCGCCTTGCACTAGTAGGACGTCTGCAATCGTCTGAAAAAAATTTCATCATTATTCAAATAAATATTGAGACAAGAAAATTGTTAAATTTTAAGTGAAAATTGAAAAGTGCTGTAAAAGATACTAAAAGGGTTGTGTTTCCACTTATGTTTTTACTTCCACGCATGATGAAAACCGAGCTACCATATAACTATTAATAAAACATTCAAATGGGTAGTGTAGTGTCTAATGGGTCTTCAAATGTATTTTAGGCTTTTGCACACAACAAATCTCGCGATATGTTGTGTTTTTTTTGCAAAGCCTTGCAAAGTATCCTTTGGCTTTTTCATGTATTTGTGATATTTGTATTAATTTCACTAGTAATTTTGAAACGTTTGGGTGAGAGAATCAACGTTTTTTTAAAAAATGCACAATGATCGATTGAAGTTTGGAAACTTGTGATTGATTAATTGTTGTCAAATTAATTTACAGTTCTCTTGGGCTGCCTTTTTGGTTTGACCAGAAGGAAAGGAAAGGAATACAGAAAGAAAGAAACGAAAAGTAAATATTGGATGAACGCAGGAAGATGAAGACTAAGCAAACAGGTGACTGATAAAGAAGTGGGTTGGCTTATTAAATGACTAAAACTAAAAATTAATCKACATTGTTTCAGTTTATGCCTTTAAACTATTTGAACTCTTTGATTATTGTGATGTACGTACATATGCCTACCTTTCGGTGATGTATCTCCAGACAAGACAATCAGACTGCAGACAGTTCCAAATAATTGACTTTGCAAATTCTTGCAGCTGTTTTTATACCGTAAGTTATATGCCACGAGAGTGGGTTAATTGAATAGAGATGTTATCGAATTTCCACTCCAGACACAATTCACATGGCGAACTGAACAAAAAAGTCAGTACTGTAGTTAATAGACTTTAGTATAAGATAGTTAATGCAAATTTGAGAAGTATAATAACTGTTCCATATTCGGTATTATTACCTCACATGTTCTAAATATAATATATATTTGCTTTGAAACCTGTTCCCGTTACCTATTACCAAATAAATAAATAAAAAATAAATRAATAAATCTTACCAAACAAAAWAGCAGTAAAACAGAAGTCATAGTTCTCAACCCTCCTGAAAGATTCTGAGAATGACAGTATTTTGGTAGACGGAGATTTCCCGCCTCCGTAGAAGTGGTGAACGGATATTCTGGCAAAAAAAAACAGAATGATATGTTCTTGGTATTATATTTCCTAATTGYTAAGTGCGCATTTGTATTTGTACATTATGTGAAGATATAAACTGTTCACGATAGGTATCTGGGAATTGAAAATACGATTACGAAAACTCGTTTGGGAAAGATCCAAGTGTTTAAAAGTGTTAAAGAGAAAATAAAATCTTGATCAAAAGTCAAGCAATTTTTTTCTCTGGATGCCAGGGGATCAGTTATAATTGCCCCCTCTCGTTGTATGAGCAGTGCAATGCAAAGCAAGAAGTCACTCTAACGAGTCTACGTTACCGTTCAAGATAATCTTTGTAGCTCAGTGCTCTACGTGTTGTATGTTTTCTAACTTAGTTATTTRTATCAGTATACTTTGTTTGTTTTTGGTTTCCAGTTTTACCTTATATCAAGCCAGAGGGCTTTTAATATAGATGTCAGAAATAACTGAYCTGGCAAACTGACCGGCAAAATGCACTTCTTTGTGTTAGTGAATCCCGTATCATCAAAATCTATACTTACGCTGCGTACACACATAAACGCCTTGTGAATATTCCGTATGCGCGATTTGCGCGTTTTTCCGCGAGGAAGCTCAATCTCAAACTGTTGCGTTATGGACGCAATCTCTTTGAGAAACGATTCGAAAACATTCGTTTCGACGGGGAGTTTTTAATTGATTATTAATAAGTTGTAACGGTTGCAGCAAAGTGTATCTGACAAGGAGTGGCTTTAAAATTAGAGATTTGAGCACCGACATCGGCAGCTTTGTGATAAAAATAAAAATAAAGTAAGATAAAAGAACAAGCAATTAAAGTAGATTGTTAAAGGTAATATATATATATAACCTCGATAACAAATTGAGAAAGCCGAAATAATATGTTCCATCTCAGATATATATTTGACATGGAAGTCCTCCTGGGATGTTTAATTGTTCYAATTGCGTCGATCATGTACGAATCGTCATGGTAACGCTAGTTCAGTTTACMACCAATAATCGGTTTGAGTCCAGTAATACGCCATATTGTTCTAATTGCGATGTTTGATAGCGGCATATCGTCGTTTTCCATATTCTCCTGTAAAAAAAGAAAGCCTATTGTTAAAAAAGGAGCCACACAAGTGCCTTGATCATAAAAGTGATTAAATATGGATGTAATAGCGATTTTATCAGTTTTATTTTCTTAGGATGTCATATAAAATACTTTATTGTAAGATAGCAGGGAATATAAAGGTTTACCTATCTGTGTCTATGTTCCCAAGAAAAAAAAACTTGTTACACCGTGTAAATTGATGGAAAATTTACAGGACTTTCGAACTTTACTTTCTCTCTTTCCACCGCTGTAAAATTTATCATTTTCCAATGAACGCTTTTTAGGTGGCGCGCAATGGATCAAGGGAAGGGTGAAAGAGCGTCGCAAAGAAAAAAGAGTAACTGCTATAAGAAAACGAGTCTGGTCAAATAAGGTGTCTGTAATTATTACCTCATGAGCTCCTTGTTTGGTGTTGATGATATTTCTTCCTTTAAGCCTAATAGTTGGCAGATTGTGTGGAACTGAAAAACAACATAGAGTACAAACATTAAATGTGTGCAACACTTTCCACTATTTACTACAAAATAGTGTTAATTAAACAATAGAAAACAATAGAATTAGCGCAGTATTTAGTGGTATTTATGTTGCACAGTTTTAGTGTTTGTACTCTATGAAATTTCTTCAATTTTCTATAATTTTCTTTCGGTACTGATTTTTTCCTCACTCCCTTCGAAGGAGGGGATGTGCGATACAAAGGAATCCCGACGAAAGAAGAGKTTACACTTACCTAGCCCTATAACTAGTCCATCATCTGGCGTGTGATCATAACGAGTGATTGGCTTTCTTTTTCCCAGTTCTGCTCCTAATGGATATGAACTAGGGTCCTGGAAACTAGATCGTGACGTGGACTGCAGGCTGTAGAGGATTTCCGGTGGACCAGCTGTAATACGAACGTGGATATAAGTTCCCTTACCATTTAATCTTATACTTCTTATCGAAAAGCAACCATGTTAACAATGCTTGACAACAATTCTACCTTGATCAGGTTTTTAATTGAACATCTTCGATATTCTGGTAAAATGGTTATGCACAAGAGAATTGAACACGAGGCTCGTCTTCAAGACTTTTTCTCTGTTAAAAACCATTGTAGGCCGCATGTTTGCTGCAGCCCTCAAATGAACAAGAGTGCCAAGTAATATCAAACTTATGACTTTTTTCTCCCACAAAAATTATTCTCCAGACATTGCAAAAGGATAAACAAGCTCAAAATGTGAACTTTTTGGGTTGTTACCCGATTCTTCCTTTGGTGCAAACACACAGGCTCCTTACGCAACTTGCTCTCTAAATGCGAAAAAGGCTATGTTTTTGTCCGTGTTAATAAACAAAAAGAACTATTACCTCTGTCTGTTTCCCATGGCGATGTCAAAGGGTATGGACCGCACGAAAAGTTTGTAAGATCTGCAAATTAAAGTAAAATATTTATTTTTTTGACTCTCGGTTCTTATTAATAATATATATACATGTGACTCTCTTTGTGACTTACAAAAAGTAAAGGAGATATCGAGAATTGAGTAAATGATTAGATGAACTTTATGAAAGTCTGATGATGGATAAAAATGTCAACTATATAACCTCGTAATAGATTTTATTAGAGTAAAATAGCTAATAAAATATTTGCCCAATATTATTATTCAATACTTATAAGTAYTTGATGATACTAATCAAGAAAGAGGAGTATACATACCAAGAGTATTTATGAGATCAGGAAAGCGGGCTTTGATATGACGAAAGTCGGGCTTCCAGATAGCATATGGCTAAGGGGAAAAAACCATGTGAACATATTCTTTGAGTATTATAMTGCTAGTGTGTTATGACAATGACTGTGAGCTTAATTAATTATAGAAGTTCATACGTATATAGTTTTTGCAACACATTCACAGTCAGTTCCTATGGCGAGTTTTTACCCATTTCAAGGTGTTCTCGACAATAAGTCTCGATTTCTCTTTGTTGCGTTGCATATCATCTAGATGGCCAGCGTTTTTGTTTCAGTTCATCGGTGCTTTTTTGTTTCCGTTAGATTAGCAGARGCGGKTTGAATAGCTTTTCATTGAGTAAATCCATTTTAAGACATATATAARTCTATKGCCCTTTTGTCTCCTAACTTCCGCTAAAAACCTTGATACGGTAATGCTAAACAATGCATACAATGCTGACCTTTGATTCACATTTTAGTGGGCTTTGATAATTCAGCCCCAGAGGATGTGGATTTTGTCTTCTGGTAGGCGATAAAACTCTGCTTCTTAGGTTCCTGGGGGACGAGCTCACCRCAGCATAGTCAGTAAGGGTGGTTGTTCTAGTTCGCTTTGCCCTTTTTGTCTGTCGCTTTGGCAGTAGCTTTGATCCCGCGAGCATTTTCTACTATGACGTCACGATTTTGATTCCCAGTCTTTCGCGCGCGTAACATTCTCTTTTTCGTTCTCACTGATAAAAGTTGAAGTCGTTAAAAATTTTGAACTGGTGCTTGTGAAGTATTACTCATTTGCCTATGGCAATGGGTTGTGAAAAACAGCTGCATGACGCACTCCTTGTTCAAGGTTCATGATATCTGTTCAAAATATTTGTATCAGTATCGGTTATCCTTGTGATTCAAAAAAACTAGTATTAATATATTCTCTTTTTCGTTCTCACTGATAAAAGTTGAAGTCGTTAAAAATTTTGAACTGGTGCTTGTGAAGTATTACTCATTTGCCTATYTATAGTAACGAAGTAAAATGTTTTTGTCGGATGTTTAACCGTCGCACATGTTCAAAACACAAAAAATTATGTGTAAGCATAGTCCAGAACTGGACCCTCTTTTCTCAATTACTATAGATAATATTCTATGTAAAAGTTAAAAATCCAAAGCGCGCGCTAAAGAAAATTCTATCGTGACCGTTGAGAACGCTGATTCAAAATAATAGTTTTCAACTCCGCGCGCGCAAGGATAAAAGAGGGTCCAGTTCTGGACTAGTGTAAGCATAGACTATCGTGAGCGCGTCGAAGTCACTGACCAAACAGAAACAGTTTCTACGTGGGGAGGGGGGCGGGGGGTAGTCAAGGGTAAGCTTATATATAGGGATGGCGGTTTATAGAGCTTTTAAAAAGCTTGGGAAGGGGGGGGGGGCAGCCCAACTTAATCCCCCCGTCTGCGCCGCCCCTGCTAAACCGTTCCATTTCTTAAATTTTTGTTTAAACGTTTTCTTATCTTATCTTATACTTATAAAGTACATTTTGCATAATGGAATAACACAATAATGAATATTTTCYGGGATCTTTTGAACTTAGTATTGCATTCGTTGTGTCTAGAATATTGTCATGTGTAGGGGAGCTCTGTTTACACTTAGGAAATAATAGTATAATGCTATTAGTTCGCAAGCATATTTTAGTATTTTGGTCTGAAGTTCTTCAAAGTTTGGTCTAATTGCGCACATTCAATCCGTAACTCCGAAAATATAGGTCATGAAATGTTGCACTTCCGAAGCAGTAAATAAATAAGAGTAAATACACCATTGAAGTAACTGTATTTATTTTGGCTTTTTTTCCTTTTTTTCGAACTTAGAAAGCCGAAAATATCTGAAATATATATGGAAGCTGAAATCGTGGTCGGTCAGAATTTTCTATTAGAACCAAATTGAGTCAATAGGTCCTCAATCTCTCTTGATTTAGTTTCAGGGATTTTTTAGGCAACTTGTTGTTGTCAATGAACGGCGATCCATCCATCTGCAATGTTTTTTTTTATTAAAAAGTGAATTTTACTTGATATTTTGTAAGAATTGAAAAGACAATATTTCTCTTTTGCATGCGGTGAGCTCAATAACAATGTCAACTTACTGGTGTTTTTGAAGTATCTTGTTTTCCTTGGTTTTCAGCCAAGTAAAAGTTGGAAGACATAAGTAAAAAAAGAGAAAAATTGGCTTGTGATATGTATTTTACACCTCGAGCGCCAAAATATCAATTGATTTGACAGCCATGTTTACTGCTAACCTACACAAAATTTTAATTTTTGCTACATCCCTCATCTTAAATACCCCTGTCTTACAATATCATATTTAGTCAATAAATATCATCGAAATCGTCAACRTGCGTAAACTATGTGCATTTATCGCACAAGGGCTCACATCGCTGATGTAAATGTTGCAAATTCGTTTTTCTCGAGAATCCTATTCAATAGAACCACCCTATGGACATATCCACTGCGGTCCAGTCTTACTTGTATCACGTTTTGGTTGCTTATAGTGCCTGTCACCAGGTAATCGAACTGACTCGAACAATATACAGTGTTGATATTCATWSACAYGCTGTGATCACATCACTAGGCAAATCGTTAGAGAACTCAAAAATCCGAGTTAGAATACCAATATGATTGTCCACTTCTGACGGATTCGGGATGCAAGTTAGCAAACAAGGACATTACATCTTTGGTAAACTGCTTTTTATCAGGGCTTTTCTTTTAATGAACTGTTCAGTTTTTGATCAATGACAAAAAAAATTGCATACACAAATAAACTGGGCACCTGCCTTTGTTATAGCGCCATAAACATGGCGGACTACATTAGAGCAATATATGACCCGGACTGTATTCATGAGAATAGACTTAGTATTGGTTTGATGGGTCAGTCATAATAGTTCAACACCCATAAGTAAATAACGCTTAAGTTTGGGATATTTATAGAGACAAATGAATGGGTTGCATTGTCTTCCAGCGTTTATTTGACTGCACGAATGGGTGGCATTGTCTTCCAGCGTTTATTTAACTGCACGAATGGGTGGCATTGTCTTCCAGCGGCGTTTATTTAACTGCACGTACAGCTTTTATCAATGAAAGTTAAATCAGAAAACTATGCAAATATATGATATTTGCCAAACTCTCTTTTTGGAGTAGTTTCCATCGGACTCACTACAGCAATAATACAGTACTATACAGATAGTTAGTGTATTATTCTAACTAAGGATAACAATGGAATTATAGGTGTATATATCTATTAGCTTAGTAGCTTGATTAAAAATCGCTAAACTATCTATTGAACTCTATGGCACCGTGGCCAGTCATTAGATTTTGTTTTAGCGATGGTGAAAACACCGATAAATCCGAAATCTAAGTGGAAATCTGGTTATGGTAAATGTAATAGACAGGCAGTATCGCGTCGAGGACAAAACAGAGCAAAGGAAGTGCAATTATTGATTAGTGTAATCATTATTTTTTTTAGTTTATGCTCGCTCTAATAATATCTAGTTTTACCACCTGCTTTGAGCTTCATTGTTTTATCTTTAAATTGTCTTGTTTTATAAGCATGGCAAACCCATTACTATTCTGAGAGGGTGTGCATATATCAGAGTCGTTGGTGGAGCAACGCGCGCACCTGCCACTGGATACCTTTCTMTAGATAATACCAAAACTAGCACCTTGTTTACGGCACCAGCTACCTACAAGCCTACTTTAACAAATGCTTTAATCAATCTTGCATCACCTCGTAATTAGTGGMAAACCTATCTGTTCATTCAAACAATACTAATGGCTCATAGGATACTTTCTTTATAAAAAACTGACTGGCAGGCGCTGTTTTTGATTAAAAGACTAATCACAAAAAGAGCGTATGGAAGATGATAGTTTATAAAAGCATTCAACTCAGCCTGTTTTGCCTCTGATCAATCATTTGTCCAACGTCTATCCGTTCACATCGAACATATCAGTATTCCTGCCAAAATTGTTTTTTAATGACACCGACAGAGAGGAAGCGCCAAGGTGAAGTATCTAGTATAAATTATTTCGAAAACTTTGTCCCAAAGATAGCATCAATTAGACAAATAGTAAATAAATATATGTTCCAGAATGCACATAAAAACGATTAGTGAATACGAGCCCATAAAACTGTAATAGGCTTTACCGACGCAGTATTTCTAGAAAAAGTTTGTTTTAATTGGATTTAAGCGTTCATATATGTTGCGAGGTAAACCGTCTGCCATGTTTTTCTCAAAAACATTCTAGATCAAATTTACAAGGAATTTAAAAGAAATTCATGTGAACGAGGGCACCAAACACGTGACACCTACGTCCACGCTGGCAACCCTTTAATAAGGCAACCTCACATCTCAAGGATTCACATCGTTAACAGGTTGATGCGACGATGAACGGCTCACAAGAAAACGCTTCGTCCATTAGTGACGGCATTTCAAGCGACATCACCATTGCTAAAATCTTCCTTTACAGTGTGATTCTCATTTGGTCACTGCTTGGCAACATTCTTGTCATTGTTGCCATTCTCAAAAACAGTGGTTTAAAAACGAACTTCAACTATTTGATAGTTAACATGGCCGTTTCGGACTTGATAATACCTTGTTTGGCACTTCCAATGAAGATTGCCGATGCAAACGTGCGTCCTTATGAATGGTTGGTAGACGGACAACTGGGGAGCTTTTTGTGTAAAATGTGCTATTTTGTGGCTGATATTTCCACTGCAGTGTCGGCATTTAGTCTCGTCATTATTGCAGCCAATCGTTTTTTCGCCATAGCATTCCCCATGCGAGGGAGATTGTCAAAAACCAAAACGCTGAGACTCATTTCTTTGACATGGATTTTGGCTGTGATGTTGCTTTCTCCATATCTCTACACGTATCAAATTGAAGATGGGTATGGATGGACAATGTGCTTAAGTACATGGTCTCCTGCCTTTGATGATGCCGTTTCTGAGGCAATCTTCACTGTGTTTGTCATTGCTGTAGTCTTTGCACTTCCATGTTTTGCAATCACCATCTTTTATTCGTTGATGCTGTGCAAACTACGACAGAATTCCAACAACATGGCGTACATGCTTAATCAAGAACAGTACAAGCGACGACGACAAAAAGACAAAAACATTTTCATCATGACTGTTGTCATCATGCTTCTCTACGTGTTTCTGTGGGGGCCGTTTTTCTGTACTTTAATTATTTTAACCTTCTTTGTACATGTAAACAATGACAATGAGCACAGCGTGCAGACGGTTATAGTGACTGTCCAGTATCTTGGTTATCTCAACTCAGCCGTAAACCCCTGCGTGTACTTTTACTTTTTGAAAAACCTTCGACAAGGAGCGAAGAAGCTATTTTTAAAGACGTCTTGGAGAAGAAGCACAACAGATTCGACCGTGCACATTACAACTTTCCGTTCCAGAGTTACAAGTTTACGCGGACGACGCACCTCCATGAAGACATCCGAGGTATAACGAGACTAAGATTCCTGCATTGTTCCCAATTTCAAACAAACTATGTGCTTATTAAGATAAAAAAAAAACGCTTACAAAAATAAAAAGATGTGTAAAGTCACAATTATTGTTACCATAATATTTGTAGATCAGTTAATATCCAAGCACGTGTTTAGAGGCTCGAATAATAGAAACGAAAAAACCGGTGGGAGGCCAAGTGTTGCATTTGCATACACACTTGAATGACTTTTAAAGTGATGTTTCAGTATTGTTTTTGTAAATAAACGTGTTCACTTAACAGGCATGTTTAAGTATTTACTCGGTTAATAATAGCTTAAGGCAATAGCTAGAAGATCAACGACGTTGTAATAGTTGCACTTTGAATGAGCCATCAGAACTGAGATCATGTACAACCAACACCAGGTGTGCTAGTTTCTGTTTGTCAGTGCAGACTATCTTTTAGTTTAATTATTGGCTTAATTGATGATTCATTCATGTATTCACGAATCATATTTGAATGTTAACTTTGACAGCCAAGACGAGGTGGCAAAGGGTTCCAAAATTTGTTGCAGTTTGAAGGCAAAAGGAAACGATTGTAAAATTTTACAAGTATTATTTTGGATTCACTCCGAACAAACTGTTGTACTATCCGAAAATGCGTTATCCTATTGATTTGGCAAAGAAAGCCTCACATCTCACGGCTTTGTCTGCAGAGGATGGCATAGGAAGGGGGATTCCGGAAGGACGAAGGCATAGGAAGGGGGATCCCGGAAGGACGAAGGCATAGGAAGGGGGATTCCGGAAGGACGAAGGCATAGGAAGGGGGATTCCGGATGAACTCCTGGAACCCCTCCTGCGCATACCCCTAAAAACTGCAAGGCGCATGTGCATGGATAGCACTACTTACAGTTAAGCTGTAATTTTGATTTTAAACAGGACCACTTCAGGATAAATAGAATTTCCAAATCATTTGCTTGTAAATAATGTATAGAAATCTCAGCTCCATTTTGTATGATTTAGGTTTACTATATTAATAATAATGATAATAAGCATCTATATAGCGCTTATTCCCTTTGGTCCATTAGCAGAGTTACACGATAAGAATATAGAGCGAAACCTAGCAAATTACTTATAATTATTCTATATAATTCGCAGAAAAATGCCGGTATGAAAAGAATTTAATATAGTAAAAGGCAACACCCATTATTCAAGTACATTTTTACCAAAGATTATAACTCAATCAAGAATCATTTTTAGTCCTTTTAGTTTTATCATTTTTTATATATAATACCATAACGCAATTCAACCTATGCTGGTAAGTGTACATTTAGAGTGAAGTGGTTATCTATCAAGAAGCAAGAGAACTGGGAATTTAATTTACTTGCGAACTACATTTATGTGAGAACCTTTTTCAGACCGACTTGGAAAAAATCGAGGATGTTCTACTCAGGAAGATGTCTCTCAGCGATCACCCCATAAATTTTCTTTTACCAAAATCTTCAACTTGTGAACATAACTAWWATCTGCGGTCCGGCAGTAAAAYTAGAACCATAATGTATGCCGATAAGACCGGTTGCCGRACCCAGCGTTCTAGCTCATTTATCACCTTTAATAGCAGATACATGTAAATAAATAGATAAGTATAATGTATATATATATAGATAGATAGATCATAATGATACAGCCTTTTGCAAAAATTATGAGAATTGTTGAAATATCTAAAWATCATAATATCGAGTGCATGATGGGTRATCCCGCGCGATGCCCTTAGTTCCTTGTCTTTGTAGTTTAGTTTTTTTTTTGGCGACAGACTTATCCGTAGTTCTGAACATTTTCTCGATGTCAACAATGAATTATTCTAGCAAACCCGCGTGTTCCGGATAATATATGGATATGGATATTATGATATTTAGATATTTCGACAATTCTCATAATTTTTGCAAAAGGCTGTATACTCTTGTTCATACATTTATTCATATATTTTTGTAATCCTTAGACCTTTAATTCAGTTAATTCTGCAATGTGGCAAATAAAAGATTTATTATTATTATTAGGAAGAACGCACGAAAAATTGTTCATGTTGACAGTCATGTTGTACAGCGGATTTTCCTCTGAGTGCACAAAGAAACAATCACTACCAAACTGGTGTTGTACGGGGGCTTTTACTGTATTTGACTTTGCTTTGCGTCATTACTACAGACATGCTGAATAACAAAAAAGATAAACGGCCGTTTTACAACGTAAAACTTTATTTTATTTTCATCTCTCTCTTTTTCCATCAATATAGTAACCGATATGTGCTATCTCATTTGAATAAATGAGGTATTTTTCAGTTTTGCAAATAAAATATTGATATCCGTTCCATGGTGAGAATACATAATGAGCATTTGAAGTAGCTTTCAAACAAATGTAGTAGGTTGATGTTTTTTTCAGGAAACTACTTTCGTTCCGAATTCATAACATAATGCAGTTAGTCTAAATGGTCAAAGTAATTTACGTTCAAATCCGCCTCTGGGGTAAAGTACAATACGTAGGAATAATAAATAAAATGGATATCACTGAGGGGGCAGCTTATGCAGAACAGTTGACTATCACCGACATGATCATAAGTCAATTATATCCTGAATTGCTATCAATTTGTTTTTCCTTAGTAATGCATACGAGGAGATGAGAAAAATGAAAGTGAATTATTTTGGTGTCACGTATAAAACTTCGTATTCTGCAAACAGAGCTACTTTTCTCAACCGCCGAGAAGCGAGAGAAAATACCGGTATTTTTCTCGCTTCTCGGCGGGTGAAAAAAGTAGCTCTGTTTGCAGAGTAAAAACTTCGTTATAAGTGGTTTAAATTATACTGAAAATGTTTGATGACGAAAAATGGCAGATTCGCGATCGAAAATTGTTTTATTAAACCGGCTTTAATGGTTGACATCTATATATGTGGAAACTCTTAAAATGTTATTCATTACAGCTAGCTAACTCCTGCTGAATTACCCTATCGCATAATGACGTCACAACATGTTTACTGTGGGAATAAATACTCCGAGAAACAGTGGAAGTTTAGACGTGAATATTATCTAGTTTTGATACCTTGTGTATCACGATACATTTGCTATGAAATCCTTTCATATTGTCTTTTTGGCGACCATAATCCCTAGCGTTAATACAATAGAATGCTTTAGTGTGACGTAATTATGTTATAGGGCAGTTTGAGTGCTATATTTTTCAAAATGGTTAAAAAAGTTTTCTCAAATTGTTTCAGATCGGATTATGTGGCTTTGAAGTACAACCAACTCCTTTGCTCGTAATATCCAGTAAAAAACAGCGTTTGTGGTGCACGTGCATGTCTAGAAAATACACAAAAAGACGAGTAAAATGTAGTAGTCTGGGTGGGGACGGTGGATGAGGGGCTGATGGATATGATTCTCTTAGTAGTGGTGAGTAATAAAACATAGGAWAAAATAWGGTAATTTGCGGCGTCTACAGCCCTTGTCTTCGAGGTRGCTTTTCTATTCACATCAGCATTATACCTGCTGAAATCAGGCGTTCGACTTTTTTAATTACTCATTCTCAATAACTAATGGTATCCTTAGTTTTAATACATAATGTGCCGGAATATAGTAGCTTTCTCAGCTATTTTAAGAACCCAACGATTAAATTAAAAATATTATTGTCTCATTCGCTCAATAATATTTTCATTGAATAATGGGCGCAAACTGCAGGATATCAGAACCTCACGTCACGCGGTTAATGGTATTTTCCAATCAGTCAAAGTAAAAGCGCTCATGGCGTTTCATCTCTTTTGTTGACATAGGTCATAAACGTAGGAACAAGTGGAGCACTAGTGGAGGGTAATACAAACTTTGCTTCATCATCATCTTTAGGGGGTATGTAAATGACATTTCTTTTCTTGTAATCAAATAAAAGCTCTTCTTCGCTCAAACTTGAATATTCATCTTCATCACTAAAGTTGGACGTGGGCTCAATATCCCCAGGGAGTATTTCCACGGCACCAGTAGGTTGCGCAAGAGTAAATATAAGACAAGAAAGAATGCTTGTCAAACCAAAAATACGAAATGCTACATTTGTTTCCAGTCTTTCAATCAAAATTCCGCTCAATATGGCGCCCARTGTTGTTCCAATACCCAGGTAGACCCCCTGGACGATAAATATACCCACCGGGTATGTTGACCTCGGTGTGTAATTAATGATGTACAGGATAAATGCTGACCATGCCGTAGAGTGCGAAAACCCCTGTAGGAGTTCCACAGATGGGATAGCCCAAGCAGACGTTGGAGTAGCCAGCGACGAGAAAAGAAGAAATCGCATTGCATAAGATGCGAGTCCACTGAAAACCATACCGATATATCCTACGTATTTCATTAAAATAGGAGCCGATAGAGCCAGAACTGAATCAGAAATATTCTGACAGATGACTGTTATACCTACGTTTAGCTCAGAACCTCCAATTTCTATGATGTTCCAATAAAGAAAGTTAGATAAAACACCCCGATATGTCCCCATTASAAAAACTACCCCMAAAAATCCCATGTGTCTCTGCACGCAGAGCTCCCTAAGTGACTGAAAAAYRTYAAAACTTTTTGCCYTCGTTCGTTTGAACGAAAAATGCAATGAAACAAAAAATGCTGATATCATTAAAACTGTGAAAATTGAGAAGGCAATTCKATAATCACCGTATTCCTTGCCACATATGACGTATTTTGGACTAAAGTCAAGAAAKGCCCCAGAAATCAACGCCAGGACCCCCACACCTACAGAACTGTAGATACCGCTTTTGGGTAACTTTTCGAAGAGGACACCCATAGGCTCCAAGAATGTTCCGACATGGTGAATATTCACGTCGTCTGTTGGAGCTTGAAAGAATTCTCCTAGTAATACTAGGAAGAAGAACTCAATGAAAATTGAAGTAGCGTAAGGATTCGCTCTGCTGTTGACATAAGGAGTGCCACGTGACTTGAAATCGTAAGGTTTACGGACGTTTTTGTACGGTTTGTTATGRAAAGTTAATCCCATCAGACCAAAACTATTAGGCAGTGGTTTTCCAATTGAAACAGATCTTTCGTTTTTCTTTGATGTCATCGATGACGCAGATCTCTTCTCTCGCCTTTTTTGAGAACTTGTACTCAAATACTCTTCATTATCCTGCCCGGAAATGTCTGCTTTTACTTCGGTGTGGCTGGATTTGATTTCATTCGGTGTAATCCAATAGTAAGGTGTATCTCTCTTGAACTCCTTTTTCAAAGTATCATTCAAAAAGCGTGTTGTATTTTGTCTTGAAGTGTTCAATAAGGGTTTTTCGACCTGGAGGCAAGATCCGTCGTGTCCGTGACTGACAAATCCGATCGGTGTAGTGAACACAATCCAACCAATTAGCGAAACCAACAGCAAAGATTTTCGAATTTTATAACGGTTTGACGCGAGGCACCAAAAAGTTCCACTAAATAATGCGACTAATGGTCGCAGTCCTCCTAATAAGCCTATTTGCCATGGATTCAAACCCACAGATCGATAGTAGATGTTGAGGAAGGGGAACAATGATCCCAGCGCTCCATAGAACAGATAATAATATACACTTGGAAGACATCTTTTGAGGTGTTCTTTGCTAATTCTCCACTTTCCACTACGATGTATTTTCTGAATCATGATCTCTTTAAAGCGCTGCAAATATAGTTTTCCTATTTAAATCGATGTCTAGTTGACGGTTAAACTCTGCGTATCATGTCTTCTCGCTTGTGTACATCACGAGGCTGTTGAGAGATAGATGGGTTTTGAATATTGGTAAGTTGGAAGTGGTGTTTGTTGATATCTCCAACGTCACAAACGGCTGATTAAACTAAACGTCGGTCAATTTCCTCGGTCGACCCTCCTGAGAGGATAAGCGTTGGCGTGCATCCCTATAAACCTACGTAAAATGGAAATTGTACTTTATGGATGAATAGAATACTTCTGCTGTCTATTTTCGTCGTTTGCAAGTTGGAAATTTTTCTCGAGGTAGTTTGGTTGCCGTGCAGCAAGCCTATATTCGTTATTCATGATTCTGATGGCTCATGGGAAGTATTTAAATACTCGCCCACAGTGAACTTCAAAAACGTCGAAAATTTGTTTTGATTTTGTCTTAAACTGTCGGCTATAAGAGTAATTATTTGTAATACCAGTGTGATTTTCAACAGACCCCGCTTGAAGACCCTCTAATGCACTAGTCAATAATAGAGAAATACCCTTCCCTCTGACGAAAGCTAAGCTTCACACAGTTAACATATGTAAATTTACACTTGTCAACTCCTCAAAGACAAACAACAAAACAAAATTCTTCCTTTCGTTTGTTTTGACTTAGATATCTTTAGTCTTTTACAGTAAAAAAATTACAAGGCCACAGAATATCAATTATTAATAGTCTACTGAAGAGCAGAGAGTAAGTCAAAGGTTTCTATTAGCAACCTAAGATCACCTAATATAGGACGGATACAATCAATTCTTTTTCGAAAATCTAAACAAGTGACGCTGCCACCATTGATACAGCTAGAGTGCGTCTCGACAGCTTTTTCCTCCTAGGTTTATTGCGGAACTGAGTTGGCAAATTTCTACCCGGTCAAAGATGACCGAAAACTGATTTTGAGGTTTTAAGGGTAATATTTTCTAGTGACCRAAATACCATAAGAAATCTAATTGCATTACTTATTCAGTTGTTATCTTGTAAGTTAGGATAAAAAATGGACGAAAAAATTCCGTCAACTCTCCTCATTCAACATCAATTCTCATTTTTATCGTTCCAAGTTAGAAGAATTTATTCGCTGTG